AACGTATTCTCATCATTTTGTAGGTACGTCTGTAGGTAGCTTGAGAGAGTTGTACATAATTGTATGCAAATTATACAAATGAGAACTTAATTTGCATAATTAATGAGGACATTCTATAATTACAGTGTTTTATATAATAGTATTTTTATACATGTAACCTTTTTAATCTGTGGCATGCGGAACATCAACAGATACCAATTATGCAAATTATGACCTAATTTGCATAATTGATGTGAAAATTCTGTGATTCCTCATTGGTGAATGATAGGAATTTTATACCTTGTGACATGTGTAAGTTACTCAAAGGTTAACACCATGATACATATATTATGTTAATGTTGAGGTAATTTGCATAATTCATGAAGACATGTTGAAATGATAAATTTTACATGAAAAATATTGTAATTTGAATTTAGATAAAATTAGATAAAACCATAAATCAAACTAGATTATGCTAATTACGACCTTGTTTCCATAGTCAATGAGACAAATAAAAAACATTTACAAAAACTCATATATTTCATGGAGGATTTTGAGATCTCCGAATTCTTGTTTTAAAGTAAGCATTGATACTGTTCCAATTGTGAACTGCCAATGTGCACCAATGCCTCTGGATTGTGCACATGTGATTTGGGACTGCCTTCGTATTGTTAAACTCATAATTACATGTATATACAAACTGCAAACAAACCAATTGAATTGCAATTTGACAAAATTCTTATATTTATTGAAATTAGTATGTCTTTAAATATGCTGCTTCAGTTCAATAGTGTGAATGGGAAATTCTTTTGGCGACGCCTCAGGGGCGGAGGCACTTTTACAGTATATTTCGATCAAGCTGAAAGAATTTAGAAAATTTTACGAATGCATTCCCTGGGGAATTGGTTTTGAGGTGGCCTCCGGCCATGTGGTGTTTGGATCGAGCTTGAAAGGCTGTTGTTGCTTTCTTTGGATTTGAGTGGCACAATTTGGGGCAAATTGTAGGTTTAAGCATAGATAATTACTGTTTTTTATGTTTCAAATATGTTTATTTGTTACGAATGTATAGAACATTTTGCTGGTAAGGCTAATCTAGGTTTTAAGTCTTCAACTGGAAACGAGGGCGAATCTGTGGTATATAGGGTGTTTTGTGATGTGATTGATATCTCTTTTGTGATGTGATTGATATTTCATATTATTTGAGGTATAAATCCAGGTTATTTAAGGTGTTTAATTTGATTTATTAGACTGTATTTTTAGGTGTTATGAAATGTTGAGGACAACAAGGATAAAGAAAGGTCACAGAGACAAGGCTTCCTGTACTTGTTTTGTATGTCTAGAAAGAATTCAAACATTTAGTACAAGACATGGCGACGGCACAGTCGCGGGACCTATTGTGACGGCATGATGTTTGTCTTTTATGAAAAGTCTTACTGTGTGCTGATAGTGATGTTTTGTGTGAGGGATTTGTGTGTGTGCGTTTGCCATTACATATATGTGAGTTTGCATGATTCTTGTTTTTTTTTTTCTTCACTTTCTTTCTTTTTTTGGCTTTCATGTTGCTGCTGCATTCAGTGTTTCTTTTTCCTGCGTGGACGCTATTAGTGCTTACGCAACCCAATTCTTCCACCATAGCGGCCGTGCTATTGCCAGTGGATTCCTTTTGTAGTCATGGTGAGCATGATGAAGTTCACCTGTTGTCAGAAAGAGAGAAAAGAGCATAAATAAATGCCATTTTGCGTAGCTAAAGCCTCGGTCACAATGCAACCCGCCGTATGTGCTTCTGCTTGCTGTCTACGTGCAAAAACGTGGCCAAACGTAGGGCCTCTGTGCGTGGTGAGTACCGCCTCCGTACGGAATCCTACGGCTTTGGGAGCACGCAGACACGCCGTATAGAACTTTAAGTGCATGTAAAACTTATTCTGCGTGCGGTCTGCGTATTTACCACCCGTGCGTGCGAGTGACGTGCGTCGACGCCACTCCTTCCCTACGTTTTCAGAAAAAAACGTAGCAGACGTAGCTTCCCAAAAAAACGTACGGACAAAAAGCATGTACGGCGGGTTGTGACCAAGGCTTAATCTGTTCTCCTGTATTAATAAGATTCATGACATAACTTTAAATGCAAAGCATTTGAGCCGATATACGATACATTTTACACAATGCAATGTAGCGGACATCAAAGGTATAAAGCTTGAAAGTCATATGCTTTTTTTTTTGTTTGTCTTTATTAAGAAATGCCGCTACAATGACATAATATGAGCTTCGTAAATGTTTCCCAGATCAACAGAAATGACAAATACACTGTGTGAGCTTACCGCTGCAAGCCATCGGTTTTTCTGTAGTCTGAGCGTGGCCATGGTGAAGCTCAACTGTGGAGCAAAGAGAGAAAAGGGCATGAATATATTGAACCCATTTCCTGCCATCCACTGGGAAGACAAATTGGTTAATAATTTCATTTATATACACATTTAGACAGTCAGAGTAGATACTAGTACTCCGATCTGGTAGAATCGTTGATTCTACAAGTAGAGATCCCGGACGGCAACAGAAACTCTGTCGGTAGAGATTCCGATGGTACATTTACGATTTATGTTCAGTATCATACATATGCATGCACATTTAGCTTCCAATTCATGGCAACCACAGACACTCGGAGCCAGATTTAGAAAAACTGCTTCAAAGTACTAGTTGTTACTGGAATATTCAATCTGAACAGGTGAGTCTTGTCAAAGAGGAGAGAATATATATTAGGTAAGGCCGGAAAATCCCAGTCCTGATCGATTAGTGGAACATGTTAGTGGCTGAAAATTTACGAAACCAAAAATTCAGACGTTCTCTCACATGATGAATAACAGGTGTGGTAGATTAACGACATCGAATAACTCCATCGATTACTAAGTAGTTGCCATCAATTTATCATGTAGAGCAGCCAGTCACACAATCATATGGTACATGAATATGTCGAATTTTCACAAACACTGCACGTATCATGGACTATCCAATAAGTTAAAATGACAGAGATATAATATTAAAATCTGATCATTGATCATCAATTTACAGAATACATATAATACAATCGTAATAATTAAAAGAGCCATATTTACAGACTATTTATATAAAATCAATATACCACTATGTAGAATGCTGAGATAAAATCTCCAAAGCCCGTGGTATGAACGACAGTTCATGACGTTTCGTTCTACTGAATGTTCTACTACTGTTTCCTTCGTCTTAAGTTATTTGTGCTTTGAGGCGCTACACATACAAAGTCATGCAGGGGGTTGTCAGCGTCATTCAAGACATGTTGGATAGTTCTCAATGTGGCAAGGTCTCGTCTCATAGACAGAGAAGGCAGGGATTCAGCAGGGATTCCTATAATCCTACAGCAACGCTTCTGGACATTTTCAAGCATGTCTGACAGATACTTAGGCAGTCCTGCCCATACTGGACTCGCATATTCTAACAAAGGGCGGATGAATACCAGATAGATACGAATGAGAATGTGTGTTGTTGCTAGACCAGCCTTCTTTGCTATGGTTAGATAGTACATTCTCGGACGAGCGTTTGACAATATATAATGGATGTCTGCGTCCCAGGTCATATCAGACGTAATAAAGACACCCAGTAGTTTGAAACATGTGACCCGCTGAATCTCTTGACCGGCTATTGTTGGATGAGGTGGATTGGGAACATTTTCCTTTTTCCTAGCACTAATTACCATATCTTTGGTTTTCTTCGCATTCACTGTAAGCGAGAAACCTTCACCCCATTCAACAACAGAATTCAGAGCCCTTTGGGATTGCCCAGGTAGAGACCCCATCAGTATTTCTGAGTTGGTCAGGTCATCAGCATATTTGACAGGGGTTACAGACTGTGGCATACATACATCCAATGGGTTGATACATATTACAAACAACAAGGGGGATAGCAGTCCCCCCTGGGGAACACCTGACAGTACAGAATGAGGTTTAGATAGACAACTACCCCATTTTACTCTCTGTGTTCTACCTTCTAGGTAGCTACTGATTATTATTTTTTTAAATCTTTCTTTATTGAATTTTCCAAAATAAATTAACGGTAACAAAATATGGCATGGCATTGTGCAAAAAGGAATACATGGTGAACCAGAAAAACAAAACGTAAAATCCAGGTACAATAGTGTTGTTCAAATTTTACAGATAAACCCTGTTTCCCCTAATTACATGGTTTAAAATTACAAATGGAATTTTAAACTCTTTTTTGTTTGATTTTGTTCTTATTTGTTTCACAACATTTTTTCTATTCTGAAAAAAATTGTTTAATTTGATTTTCCCCATTTCCCCCTATGTTTTAATAGTTTGTGTTGCCTGTACGCAATGTTTAATTCTAGTCTATAAAAGTGAGAAACATAAGATATAAATGCAGATAAACTTAAGGAATACTTACGATTTTTAAAAATAAACATTTTACCCAGGAGTACTAAAACATTGGAGAGAACCGGGCATCGATCACTCAGGTTACCAAAAATCATATTGATTGCGTTGATTTGTAAATGAGTACCAGTGATGATGAAGAACCAGTCGTCTACCTGACTCCAAAAATATGCAGATATTCGACAATTCCAAAATAGATGGACGACTGATTCTTCTTCCTCTTTACCTAGACTGCAAATTGGTGAGTCTATTAACCCCCTTAAAAATGTTTTATTACAAGTTATAAATTTGAACAGCAGTTTGTATTGAAACATACGAGTGTTTGAGTCAATAGAAAGTTTATACGGCAAACTATACACTTTGTGCCAAGGTAAAGGGGTATCAAAATATTCCTCCCACGAAAATTTAATTTTGTCAGACGAGTCCCATAAACTGGCTTCGTTCATAAAAAATGAATACAGATCTTTATTAATATTTCCCTTACGTAGCCAGCTTATGTTTCTACAGACTGGAAAACAAGCACCCAGGTTTGGAGATGTCTGTTTTAACGTGGTTTTCCAACAAGAAGCTCACCAGGTCTCTCAAACAGAAGCTGGACTCCTTCGACACCCAGTGCCTGAGAAAGATCGAAGGCATCCGTTGGCAGGACCATGTCACCAACGAAGCAGTACGCTACACAACAAACCAGGTCCCGATCAGCCAGAGGATCACCAAGCACCAGCTAAACCTCCTGGGTCACATCTCCAGAGCTACACCCACCCAGGAAGTGATTAAACCGATCACCACAGCTCCAGATCCAATTTGGAGGCGCCCTAGAGGCCGTCCCAGGANGCACTCCGCGATACCCCCGCAGAGCTCTGCGCCTAAAGAAGTCAATTCGTTGGTTGGCGTCACCGTTCAGTTTTACTTTCACCTCTTTGCGCTCTGCGCTTAAAACAAGTCAATTCGTCATGGCTGGTGACACAGGTTCAGTTTTGTATAGACCTCTGGGGATTTTAAGCCAGTTCAATGTGACTACTAGGCTTTGTAACGTACCAGGGGACCGCAGAGCTGGCTATTGCTGCTCTGACAGGTCGGGTTCAGTCGGTTTCAAGCTTGCAGTCAGTAGCTCTGCGCCGAAACAAATCAATTCCTTGGTTGGCGTCACCACTTATTTTTGGTTAGACCCTTGTGAATAAAACTATAAGTACAAAACACGTTGATGCTGATGGTTGACGTCACGGGTTCAGTTTTGTGTAGAGCTCTGAAGATATCATGTTTATTGAATATTACTATTAGGCTGAACAGCCAGTACTCTGTCACAAATAAAGATTTCGTCACGCAACTCTGCACAGGACTGCTCGCTCAACTGTCCGTCAGTCTGTGACACACGTAGAGCTCTGCGTCAAATAAAGTCAATTCGTTGGTTGGCGTCGACGTTCAGTTTTGCTTTCACCTCTTTGCGCTCTGCGCTCAAAACAAGTCAATTCGTCATGGCTGTCGAAACACGTTCAGTTTTGTATAGAACGCTGAAGATATCAAGTTAATTGAATATGACTATTAGGCTGAACAGCCAGTACTCTGTCACAAATAAGGACTTCGTCACGCAACTCTGCACAGGACTGCTCGCTCAACTCTCCGTCAGTCAGTCTGACTGACACACGGAGAGCTCTGCGCCAAATAAAGTCAATTCATTGGTTGGCGTCACGTTCAGTTTTGATTTCACCTCTTTGCGCTCTGCGCTCAAAAGAAGTCAATTCGTCATGGCTGGCGACACAGGTTCAGTTTTGTATAGAGTTCCGGGGATTTTAAGCCAGTTCAACGTGACTACTAGGCTTTGTAACGTACCAGGGGCCCACAGAGCTGGTATTGCTGGTCTGACAGGTCGGGTTCCGTCGGTTTCAAGCTTGCAGTCAATTCTTGGGTTTCAGTCACGTGACCCGACCTTAGCGACGGGTGTTATCCGCCATGTTGGTGTACCTACAACCCCACGTAGCCTATGCGCTATGTACATGGTTCATTGTTTTGTAGCTGGTTGCGGGTCAAAAAAAAAGTGGTAAACACAGTGTATCTTTTCAATGTGTGCCAAGGTGATTACAAATTAAGGAAAGGACCAAGAAAAACTGACCGAAAAACATCGCAGATTGTGGATTTTTGCGATCAGCCGCGGGGATACGGCCACAGAAATATCCCGAGATTGTGGCGAGTTACTATCGCCAAAGACTCTGGGCAAGCTTCACCCGCCTGGGTCCGACACAATGTTGCCTGGGTCCCTACTAAAAAAAACCTTAGAAGAAAGAAGTACAGAGATTGGGACGAAAGCAAAGAACAGAAGGAGGGGCGAGGGCCGAAAGGGCGAGAGAACGCAACAAGCGGGCCGCGGAACAGTCGGGTCTGGCGGCTTGACCGGGCGGGGCTTCTGACGCCAAAAGCCGCCCGACGCCACACAATGCTGCTGGATATCGCGTACGTGATCTTCCCTACACCGAGGTCAGAAATGTTCCTGTACATGCAGAAATGGCACCCAGGAATTTCCATTAAACATCGACAAAACAATAGTTTACACGGTGCAAGTGAATTTATTTTGATACACGTGGCAGTCTGACTCAATTTGAGCCTAAGTGCTAAAACTCCGAGTTCATCCTGACAGCCCAACAAAATTACCGATCTTAGCACTAAAATTGCGTTAAGATTCTGCTTATCATGATACCCTAATATTGTAATGTCAATGTTCACAAGCTAATTCATGCATAGGTTGTGAGAGGTTACCCAAAAACTTTTTTTTTTCACGGCAAAACTACAACTACGGGTACGTAAACAAAATTATGCCCGGAGGCTCCCCTCCCAACGCCGATGATTTACTCCCGCAAACTCGAGGCGGCCAACAAAATTTCTGTCGACAGGGATGACAAGCCGCCATGTAAAATTCTCATTCTAATGGGGTTCCAACAGAGACATGAGTACTTTTTGGTGCTTGAAAAAATATTCATGAACTCCAGTTTGCCAGCGGCGAAACCGAAGGGGCTAGATGAAAGTGCACAACAAACAAAGCCGCCGGCGGGCATGAATCAAACTGGCATTTTGCATTATTACACACAGAACCCATAATTTTGAAACAGCAACAGATAGTAAAACAAGGATTTACATTACCAAGAAAAGCTGAAACTTAGGCTTACCATAATTTGATTGGGGATAACCCGTCCGCTCCACTCGAAATTGTTGTTTACCATTCCGCTACGCGAGCGAGTCACAAGTTGTCGCGAGAAGGAATCAGACACACGGGTGACCCGCGCACAGAAAACTGTCCAAAACACACTTCCCAGAACCTCTCTCTCTCTCTCTTAATTCATTTATTGAGAAAAAAAAATAGACTAGAGTGACCAACATACGGATCCTGTCCACTGTAGGACTGTGAAGGAGATACTAGTAACGTTAGTCTTTGAAGTTCGTTCACACATACGCAAGTTTTGTCGTCCTATATCCTTTGTCATCGTATCCTTTGACTTCCTATCCTCTCAAAAACGTACAATTTCATTGAAAACCTTGTCATCTGTCAACCATCAAAGACTGCAGAATTATCGTGTGGCTGTTAATTACTTGTATGGCTTCGGTGCCAACGTCTTGACACTGCATAGCACTACACCGAGGTACACCAACATGGCGGCCCCCTGTATTACGCAAGCCCCGTGACGTCACGTGAAAGCCGAGAATAGCTCTGCGCCGAAACATCTCAATTCCTTGGTTGGCGTCACCACTTATTTTTGGTTAGACCCTTGTGAATAAAACTATAAGTACAAAACAAGTCGATGCTGATGGTTGGCGTAACGGGTTCAGTTTTGTATAGAGCTCTGAAGATATCATGTTTATTGATGACTATTAGGCTGAACAGCCAGTACTCTGTCACAAATAAAGACTTCGTCACGCAACTCTGTACAGGACTGCTCGCTCAACTCTCCGTCAGCTCTGCGCCAAAACAAGTCACTTCGTTGGAGCGCAAAGGGGTAAAAGCAAAACTGAACTGTGACACCAACGAACTAATTGACTTGTTTTGGCGCAGAGCTCTGCGTGTGTCACAGACTGAGGGAGAGTTGAGCGAGCAGTCCTGTGCAGAGTTGCGTGACGAAGTCTTTATTTGTGACAGAGTACTGGCTGTTCAGCCTAATAGTCACATTCAATTAACTTGATATCTTCAGAGCTCTATACAAAACTGAACCTGTGTCGACAGCCATGACGAATTGACTTGTTTTGAGCGCAGAGCGCAAAGAGGTGAAAGCAAAACTGAACGTCGACGCCAACCAACGAATTGACTTCTTTTGGCGCAGAGCTCTGCGGGTTCCGTCGGTTATAAAGCATACAGAGCTCCGCGACAAAACAAGTCAATTCGCTGGTTGTCCTCACTGTTGAGTTTTAATTTCACCTCTTTGAGCCCTGCGTTCAAAACAAGCCAATTCGATGGCAGGCGGCAGTTTAGTATAGAGTTCCAAGGATTTTAAGCCATTTCAGTGTGACTACTAGGATTTGTAATGTAGCAGGGGCTCTCCCAAACAAACAAGGCTTCGCAGAGCTCCATGGAGCTGCTCGGACAACCCTAGTTCCGTCGGTTATAAAGCATACAGAGCTCCGCGACAAAATTCGCTGGTTGTCGTCACTGTTGAGATTTCTTTTAAATTTTTTAGGTCTGCGTTCAAAACAAGCCAAATCGATGGCTCGCGTCAGTTTTGTAAAGAGATCCTCGGATCGCGATATCCCAGCAGAGCTCTGCGACAAAATAAAGGTCTTTAATTCACTATATAAAGGGCTCTGTAACCTGCGACGAATTAAAAAATAGTCTACGGAACTCCAACCGCGGAGCGGCAATTTTCCGTCTCGTAAACGGTCGATGCCATTCGGCTGGTCGATGCCATATCTGAGCAAGGAGTTTCTACTAGGTGTAGAAGCGTACGATAACTTTTTTGGGGGTCAAAAAACGAATAAAAAGTGATATACACTATAAAAAGCAATATTCTAATTGGAAGTATAAGGGAAGGTCATGTCGAATTGTAAATGTTAGTATAAAAAGGGCAAGCTGAGATTCAAACCCGGGTCTAAACTCTAAAACCATGGCCATAACCCAAACACCTTACCCTAACGTCTACGCCACAAAACATCACGGTGTGGATGGACCATTCTGATACACATAAAGTTAGCCGTTCTGCGAAATGGCATCGACCGTTTCAAAAGGCGGCGACCGTTTACAAGACGGAAATTAGCCGCGGAGCTGCTAAAATAGCCCTCCGAGACCAGACAAGTTAATTCGTTAAACCTTTAGTATACAGGAACAATATTCAGAGAGACAACATATTTGCTCCATAGAAAACAAATAAGTCCAAACAAACATGCTTTGCTCGATCATGCAGGGTGGCACCTATTGTCCAGTATTTTACAACCAACATCCACCCTAATCGAGACGGCCACCCGCACACAAAACAAGCCATGCACAGTTGTATGTATGTGAACTAGGTGTGAACGTGATAATCCAAAAGTCAAAAGAGTGCAAAACTGAACCTGCGACCCCAGCCATCGAATTGACTTGTTTTGAACGCAGAACTCTTCATGCTTTATATTACTGACGGAGCTAGGGCTGACCAAGAACCTCTATGAAGTTATGAACTCTGCAAAGTTTTGTTTGCTTGGGAGAGCCCCTGCACGAGTAGTCACACTGAACTAGCTTTAAAATCTACGGAGCTCTATACAAAACTGACGCCAGCAATCGAATTGGCTTGTTTTGAACACATAGCTCAAAGATTTGAAAGCAAAACTCAACAGTGACATATTGACTTGTTTTGTCGCGGAGCTCTGTATGCTTTTAACCATGGAGTTAAAATCTCTATCAGTCTATGTTTTTGTTTTTAACCGACGGAGCTAGGGCTTTCCTAGTACCTCTGTGAACTCTGCGAAGTCTTGTTTGTTTGGGAGAGCCCCTGGTACGTTACAAGGTCTAGTAGTCACATTGAACTGGCTTAAAATCCACTGAGCTCGATACAAAACTGACGCCAGCCATCGAATTGGTTTGTTTTGAACACAGAGGTGATAGATTTAAAAGCAAAACTCAACAGTGACGACACCCAGCGAATTGACTTGTTTTGTCGCCGAGCTCTGTGCGTTCTTTATGACTAATCTCCAAGCAGATCTTTTGGTGGGGGTATTAAAGACAGTATCAAATTAGCCAGTCTGTATCCATTTCCCCAACCTTGGTTGGGGAAATGGATACAGACTGGCCAATTTGATACTGTCTTACCCCACCAAAAGATCTGCTTGGAGATTACTTTATGACCACGGAGCCAGAGCGAGCTGCGTAGGCACCTCCATCCTCCATGGAGCTCTGCGAAGTTTTGTTTGTTTGGGAGAGCCCTTGGTACGTTACAAAGTCTAGTACTAGTAGTCACATTGAACTGACTCAAAATCTACGAATCTCTATACAAAGCTGACGCCAGCCATCGAATTGGCTTGTTTTGAACGCAGGGCTCAAAGAGGTGAAATTAAAACTCAACAGTGACGACAACCAGCGAATTGACTTGTTTTGTCGCGGAGCTCTGTATGCTTTATAACCGACGGAACTAGGGTTGTCCAAGCAGCTCCATGGAGCTCTGCGAAGTTTTGTTTGTTTGGGAGAGTCCCTGGTACGTTACAAAGTCTAGTACTAGTAGTCACATTGAACAGGCTGAAAATCTACGAAGCTGACTATACAAAACTGACGCCAGCCAGACTTGTTTTGAACGCAGAGTTCAAAGATTTTAAAGCAAAACTCAACAGTGACGACAACCAGCGAATTGAGCTGCGGAGCTCTGCGGGTGTATCGCGGAGGGCTGTACGAGCAACCTCCATGGAGAAGCTCTGCAGAGCTCCTCCATGGAGGTTGCTCGTGCAGCCCCTTCTCCTGTATGCTCAAGGACTTTACCATTAAGAAGGATATCGGGGGGAGGAGGAGGGTCGTTAATAAAAGTGATGTTCATTATTTTGCACTTATCTTGGTGAATACATGGTGAACCAGAAAAACAAAACGTAAAATCCAGGTACAATAGTGTTGTTCAAATTTTACAGATAAACCCTGTTGCCCCTAATTACATGGTTTGAAATTACAAATGGAATTTTTAAACTCTTTTTTGTTTTTGTTGATTTTGTTCTTATTTGTTTCACAACATGTTTTCTATTCTGAAAAAAATTGTTTAATTTAATTTCCCCATTTCCCCCTATGTTTTAATAGTTTGTGTTGCCCGTACGCAATGTTTAACTCTAGTCTATAAAAGTGAGAAACATAAGATATAAATGCAGATAAACTTAAGGAATACTTACGATTTTTAAAAATAAACATTTTACCCAGGAGTACTAAAACATTGGAGAGAACCGGGCATCGGTCACTCAGGTTACCAAAAATTATATTGATTGCGTTGATTTGTAAATGAGTACCAGTGATGATGAAGAACCAGTCGTCTACCTGACTCCAAAAATATGCAGATATTCGACAATTCCAAAATAGGTGGACGACTGATTCGTCTTCCTCTTTACCTAGACTGCAAATTGGTGAGTCTATTAACCCCCTTAAAAAATGTTTTATTACAAGTTAAAAATTTGAACAGCAGTTTGTATTGAAACATACGAGTGTTTGAGTCAATAGAAAGTTTATACGGCAAACTATACACTTTGTGCCAAGGTAAAGGGGTATCAAAATATTCCTCCCACGAAAATTTAATTTTGTCAGACGAGTCCCATAAACTGGCTTCGTTCATAAAAAATGAATACAAATCTTTATTAATATTTCCCTTACGTAGCCAGCTTATGTTTCTACAGACTGGAAGACAAGGACCCAGGTTTGGAGATGTCTGTTTTAACGTGGTTTTCCAACAAGAAGCTCATCAGGTCTCTCAAACAGAAGCTGGACTCCTTCGACACCCAGTGACTGAAAAAGATCGAAGGCATCCTTTGGCAGGACCATGTCACCAACGAAGCAGTACGCTACACAACAAACCAGCTCCCGGTCAGCCAGAGGATCACCAAGCACCAGCTAAACCTCCTGGGTCACATCTCCAGAGCTACACCCACCCAGGAAGTGATTAAACCGATCACCACAGCTCTAGATCCAATTTGGAGGCGCCCTAAAGGCCGTCCCAGGAGCAGATGGGAAGACCGGATTTTCAACGTGCTGGACAGTTTAGGGGTCAGCAGAACTGACTTGAGTGCGCTGGCAGAAAACAGAACATCCTGGAGGGACATGGCTACAGCCGCCATGCATCAACCCTGATGCTTGCGGCTTGATTGATTGTTGTTTGCCTTTACTTCCAAACACCACATGTAGGAAGTCCCGTCAGTTACACCCGTGGACTTACAGCGTTTACAGATTAGTTAAACAAATTATGCCATATACATATGGCGAAATTTTGAACAGTCAGTATTATTCAAACTATATCCTGATTTGTATAATTGTTGATTTATTATTTTAAGAAAGACTTTTCGGACTCATCCGGACTCATCCGCTAAAAACGATTTCGTCAGAAACTACCCTTAAGATCCACCACTTATTCGTAACAGAAATAGCTACCTGTCGCCAAGATTCCAAGACCATAGCATGTTTAGGATTACAAAAACCAGAAGTTCTTCTGCAGTTGACATTGTTCTTTACTTTTTTAAGACCTACCAACATACTAAATATCAGAACTCTATAGCCAAGCTATGAATGTGTTATTTACCTACAATTAACCTAGTAGTCTAGTAACCCATATTACACTACACCTTATCCCAAATCTATCGGAAATATACGTATCAAGAGCACCAACATTTTACTATGTGTCGATATACAAGATGAAAAAAAAATCACAATCGTATAAATTACATAATTTCTTATATGCCTACCTGACAAGTGTTTCTCGTGTCAGTGAGTTATAATAAAGACCCACAGGATCTTTCATGTTAATCATGGCTATTCAAACCATCATGACCAGCAGGAGCAGGGCGCATTTTTGTTGCCTCATTGTTATCTCTTTACAAGCAAACCTGAAACAAAGACAAAATTAATACTTGAATAAAAGCCCCTCTGTGGTGTTAGAGAGTGCATTATATATATCTGACAAAAGGTTGACGAGATCGACTGGAAATTCATGGTAATTTCCCTCATGGAACAAAGTTAAACTTAACAACTGAAAAATTCAATGGTTTGACAGTGTTAAAATCTAGCGGTTATGTTAATCTGTCTATTTTGTTTATTTAAATTTCCACCAGATGTGTGGAAGGGGGGAGAGAACAGGTGAGTCACCTTTACGAGCTCCCTCCCCAAATTACATCAATAAAAAAGCATTGTAAAACACTGTAATCATACACATTGTAAAAGTAAATACATAAAGATACATACAAATATATGGACATGTAACATGTCAGTCAGCGCGACCTTAATGCTATGCATGCCCCACATCTGCAAGCCGCAGACCATGTACATATGATGTCTGTGTCAAAGTTGTCCTGAAACCTGTAGCTTACTGACAGGACAAGACACCGTTTGAAATGCAAAGTGTTAGACTGACTTGACGCTGCAACCCCTAAGACCTTGATTTGCTAATTGGCGTTTCTAGTTTATTTCATTCGGTCACTAGTCGGGCGATGTACAACATTGCAAATGTAGATGTTTTGCAACGACTCGAAATCAGCATGTGAGACCTACCACCCCTAGTTAGTCTAGTGGAGGATAATAAATAGCTCTAGTTAATTAACTAGCATAGTATCCTCCAAAAATTTAAATTCTAATCAGTAGTAATAGTTATTCTTAGTAATTTCAACCATATTCAAATTCTCACTATGTGTGCTAATTGATGACGTCATTAATCAAACTTGAACATAGTGAAACTATAATTAAAGTAAAGTGCGTTCACAGAACATTTACGTCATGTTGGCTTCCGTGTTGTCATGGGCATTATAAGTCTTAGCAGACCTTTATATTCTGTCATACACCCTTTTTGATTCATTTTGTGCAGTTTTACAGGAAAAACATCTTCACACGGTTTCCTCAAAATCACCTAAATTGACGTCAAAATGATGTCGTATTATGCACCAAAATTACTCTTATGATTTAATTTTACTTGTACATTATCCCCTGAAAATAAGTAGTTTGTAAGTTACATAGAATTACCCCACCTCCACCTCGTAAAAAGCAGGGTAATTTGGCTTACAACATGTTCGGTGCCAACCTCCCCCCCCCAAAAAAAACCTCGAATTAAAGGATTATTAATCTTATAATAAAAATGAGGTACACGTGCCCTAGGTCACGGAAATGGTTTGAAGCACATTATGCCTAAACTGAGAATTCTGTGATGTTTCGGGGGTTTGTAATTGATACCACCATACCAGCTCATTCAGTTTGAAAACCAGAGCACAGAAGATTAAAATATACACTTCTGGTCCTGCAATTGAATAAGAAACTTGTCAATAGGTAGTTAACAAGCAAAGACGTTCACCAGGTGACTATGGAGTCAGTAACGAACACTTCACACATGGGATTAACGTCATAACACATTTCCTTACTGTCATTATTACCTTCGTCAGAAGGTTATGTGTTTACGTCCACTATAAATAGGGTTTGCTGATTTTGAAATCGGTTTCATGCAAGTTTCATACTGCGAGTTTTGATCTCCTCCGTAAGTGCAGACAATTCCTGATACAGTTGCTCGTCCGGGAGTTTTTGCTCCCATAAGATGTTCAGACACATACGGAGCATCTTTTGTAGCAGCAATTAATGTGCTTTTAAAGGGATTTAGTCAGCGTAAGAAGAAGAAGTCAGCGTCCAAGCTCCACTACCATACAGCAGTATCGATTCTTCTGTGACAATCAGGAAGTTTAATTTTGGTTTTTCATAACTTGGATTTCCATATTTTATTTAGCTTATGGCAGCTACTCTAGGCGACCGCTTTTCTTATTTCGATTTTTTTTCTGAGTTCTGCATGTTAAAACCCAGGTATTTAAAGTTTTTGACTACCTCTATCCTCTTGGTGACCTCCCTTTGTTGATATACTAGGTCACCGCTCCTGTTTTAGATGACGGCGGGAACAACTTGTTGTATGCTATAAGCTTGGTTTTCTTGGCGTTAAGATTCAAGCCTACTTTTGAGGATTCATTTTCCAGACGCAATAATAGTTCCTGTGCTAGCTTGATTATTCCTGTCGGCAGAGCCATGTCATCTGCGAAGTCCAGATCATCAATTACAACAGCAGGATGACGAGTACTCTTTCTGCTTTCAAGTTCAAAATAGAGTTTTCTTTCTCTTCTCCAAGAGTTTGTCTCATTATGAAGTCTAAGACTGTAACAAAGAGGTAAGACGCTAGTGTGTCACCCTGTAGGACACCCGCTGTAATTTTAAACAATTCAGTTTAACCATCGGGGGACAATACTTTCGCACGTGTGTTCTTGTACAGTATGTTGATTGCATCAACCAGTGCCTGTGGAATTCCGTACGCTTTTAAGATGTTCATCATTTCCCCTGAGATCTATCAAAAGCTTTGCTAAAATCAATGAATAATTGCCTGCAGATTCTTACTCAGTACTCCTTTTATTAGTTGTCCAAGAGCAATGATTTGTGAAGTTGTTTAACGACCCGGGCGGAAATCGTTTTGGTGTGGTCTTATCTGCCCCAGGTTGTATTCTATTTTGTTGGTTATCTTTGCTCCAACCGAAGCGAGCATGATACCTCTGTAGTCAGTGTATTCAGTTAAGTCACCTGGGTTGGGAACCGGCACAAGGGTTCCAATCGCCAACTGTTAAGGCCGATCTCACCTAGGAACAACTTGTTAGCAAATGACAGCATGATGTCATGAAAATCGCACAGTTTTAGAGCCTCGGGAGGAATTCCATCAGGGTAAGCTGCCTTACCCAGTTTTAGCTTGCTCTTGACAGCTATGTAGTCCACCATGGTGAATGGTTTAGCCAAAATGTCAAGTTTGATAAAGCTCTGAGGGATTGGTTCATCAGGAGAACCCTTGACTACTGGTACTGATCTAAACTACACATTCCTTCAAGCTGAGGGGGTAATCAATGTGAAATTTGCGTAGGTTTCAAATACTACGGGCTCATCTCTATCTTTGTGCACTATTTTGTGGTCTGAAAGGTCTAGTATTGACACAGCATATGTGTTACTGTACATGAGTTTACTACTTCGTACCGCTTACGTTCGTCTTGGATTGTCTTGACATTTACAGTAGCCACGTTTGGATAGTTTTTGCAGTTTGTCTGTCTCTTTGTTTAGTACCCTCGGTTTCCCCATTTTTCGTAGTTGAGAAGGAGAAGTGTCATCTGTTTCAGCTGGAACGCTAGTACCCTCGGAGATAGAAGTGAGATATTAGAAGTATTCTGCTTTTAACACAATTAATACATCGAAGGTGTGGGGCAAAAAGCATATTTATTTGCCCATCACACAAAAAAACATCAAAGTCATTTTACAAACTTTGCTCCATTTGCCTAGCCTCTACTAGGCACAGCGGATCGCTGGAAAAATAGTAGAAATTGGCCGAAATGAAGGCATAGTATACCAGAGAAGATCCAGGGGAATAGAAGCTCCAATTTGCGACCCACGGAGCCTGTGCGGAGTCGCAAGCTTCAAACGATATCAAATTAATCCTCCTATTATTCGTACAAAGAAACTTGATCGGCGCTGAAGATCATTTAAGTCATAAACCCGCCAGCGCCCAGCGGGAACTCAGCCGGGTGTCACAGTGTGTGAAGGGAAGTGGCTGTGTCTGGGACAAAGGTCAAAAAGCAGCAAAACGAGACGAAAATTATTCATATAATGTTCGTATTATCTGTGTTTTTTTTCTGACATAAGACCGGGGCTTTTTCTTACTGTTGATAAAATGTCCTGAAGTTGGGTTATTTTTGCGATACAAATGCCATACGGTTACACGTTACGCTATAGTTTCGTTACGATGCGGTTACTCCGGCGCGAAAAACAGAAACAAAGAAGAATCGACATTATCTCTTTTTCTTTGTCTTCGGCTGATTTTGTGTCAAAACATTGACTATTCGAGGCAAGGGCGACTCATTTTAGGCAATGACGGAACAGAGGGTCCTTGATTAGTGCTGTCAAAGGACTGATGATGACAACGAATGGTTCAGAGGAGTTGATGCACGACGGTATGGCCTGAAAGCAGAATGTTTTGCCGGCCCCCAGTCGGCAGTCCAACGAAGACTTCGTGCCCATCCAAAATCCCAAACACGGCGTCCTCCTGACCCTGCCGCAAAGTTTCATAACCAAAAACGCCCTTCGCAACACGACAGTACAAGTCAGAGGGCAAAAAATGCGTCAGGAAAAAGACGAGACAAGACCGTTATAACTTCAAAACTTCGTGACCACTGACACTTCCTCTCACACTGTCGCTCGTGTTAGGTCCGTCACGGACGAGTCGGAGAGCAACCAAACGGGTACTTAACCACTTCCCACCTATTAGATACAACTTTGCACCTATTATATAGCGATTAGTGAACTTCAAAGAAGCTTGCGACTCCGCACAGGCTCCGTGGGTCGCGAATTGGAGCTTATATGACCCTGGATCTTCTCTGGTATTCTATGCCTTTATTTCGGCCAATTTCTACTATTTTCCTAGCGATCCGCGGTGCTTGATAGAGGCTACCATTTGCCCTCTATACGTGAAATCACGTCTATGTTGTATTACGCCGCAGCAGAAACAAAGTAGTCATTTTATTGATCTAGACTAGTGTCTCCTAGAGTCTCTTGTCATGTCAGGGTACATGTAGTGCAGGCATTGTATTGGATATACCCATGCTTACCTTCTTAGTTTTTCCTGCAATTGTTGTTGTTTTTTTAAACATTTGAACTTTCACACCGTTGAGATAGACATGCCCGGGGCCTTCGACAGCATCATTAAGTCTGAGATCCTAGATGTGTTGGCCAGAGGAAGGAAGTTAGGACGATGAATTACGTCCCATGAGACTCCTGCTGACAGGTACTGAACTGGAAGTCCGTGTTGGATCAGTCTACTCGGCAACAATATGGTCCTACCAGGTGACAGTCTCTCATGGCTCTGTTGCCTAGCATTTGCATGATAGATAATATCTCAGCCATCTTCATGTTGTTGTCTGACTATGTCGACTTTAGTGACGAAAAAAAGAAGACACGTAAGTTACACAACCACATATTTCTGCCAAAAATGGGGAAAAACACTAATTCATAAAGGAAGTAAATTGATTGATTTTTATTTAGCTAAACAGACTAACAAACTTGGCCGAGAAAGTTAAATAGATAAACATAAACAGCCATCAGAGGCCAAGAGAAATACATTATCCGCTATTTATTGCCTCCAGATCTTTGTAGCAAGTCCGGATACAGAAATGACAATTCCTGTGGGGAGAAAAATTGGACCATGCCTGTTGAGTATCAATATCAAAATGGATGGGAAAATGTTAATATTACGTTTCAATACCACAATGCAGTACCAAGTACCAATACAGTGCTTTGTAGTAACAATTGCTCTTAAAACCTTCTTATCATGCTTTGTAATAAAATGTTATAGAGACCCCGATGTATTTATTGTCATAATTCCAAATGCATGGATATAACGTATTAAAATCAGTGAAAATTTTTGCATCCCTTAAAAGCAACTAGTGTATTTTCCCTAATATTTTGCCCAATGTATAGAACGACTGCTTCACGATATATTTTAACCAATCTTGCACGATATTTAAAGTAAAACCAACTGGAATATATATATATATACAT